TGGATGCAGCGACCGGATGCGCTGTTACTGCCGAGCATCTCCACCTTCCGGTGTCTGCGGTCACGTTCCTCTACCCTCAGCCACGCTTGCTGTTGTGGCGTCTGTATTTACCAGCAGCCTGAGAGTAACTTCAGCCCGAGGGTAACTTTCTGTTATTTTAATTTGCAAATACACTCCACCTTGTCATCTAACTCTGTGTCTTTGAGCTGAGAAAACACATTTTTTTATTCAGTAAAATGAAAGAAAAGTATCACAAATGAAAGGTGCCGAAAACCCAGACCCAAGCGCACTGGCTGCGACGGAGCACTGAGGGGGTGAATCCTGGCTCACGTGCCGCTGTTGGATGTGCTGTGAGGGGCGCCAACACCAAATGAGGAAGGGATGGCCACACCACTCATGTTTCCTTTCCTCACAGGCTTGCGCCGCCGTACTATTGAGAGCACAAAGACAGAAGTGGGGAGATGGGGACTACAGTCGTTTTCTTCTTTAATAGTCTCTCTGTTTTGTGCCCTACGTCTTACAGCTCTCCCAGCCTTCAGCGGACGTCAAAAAGTTTCCAGCCACCCCGCCTGCCCAGATCAGTCTACAGCCAAGAGATGTCAGACTGCTGGCATGCTATGCTTACTTCCTTCTGTCCATGTCTCCCTCCCTTTCCCTCTTTCTTTTTTCTTCCCTTATTTTATCTGTATGCATGTCTTGCCTGCATTGATGTTTGCATCACATGCCTTCCTGGTGTCCATGGGAACTAGAAGGGGTTGTTGGATCCCGTAGGGCTGAGTGACAGACATTTGTGAGCTGTCATGTGGGTGCTGGGAATCGAACCCAGGTCCTCTGGAAGAGCAGTCAGTGATCTTAACCACTAAGCTATCTCTCCAGTCCTCCCCATCATCTTTTTTTTTTTTTTTTTTTTCTTGTTTGTTTTTTGAGACAAGGTTTCTCTGAGTAACAGTCCCGCCTCTCCTGGAACTCACTCTGTAGACCAGGCTGGCTTAGAACTCACAGAGTGCGGCCTGCCTCCGCCTCCCAAGTGCTGGGATAAAAGGAGTGCGCCACCACCACCCGGCCATCTCCTGCTATCTTAATGCTTCCAACTACTTAATGCTCCTTTTTATTTGTTTGTATTCTTGTGGCACTGAAGATCAAACCCAGGGCCTTGTGTGTGCTAGAAAATATTCCATGGTATAGAGCAATACCTCCAACCCTTCCGAACTACTTTTTACATATCTTATATTTAAATATGAACAGCTAGGTAGAGAAGAGTCGCTTTCTATAGTTAGAAGGATCTAGTACTGGTTTCCTGAAGATCACTACTTGCCCTAGAACACTTCGGGCAGCATACAAGTTTATCCCAGCAATTCAGTTCCACCAGCAGGAAGGCATTGGTGGTAGTGGAGCCCATTGAAACCTGGAGCTGAGGAAGGGGACTGAGTCTTAACTGATGGAGCTCCCAGGAGAAATGTGCCAGCATGCGAGGCAGGAGTGAATAGGTATCTTGACACAGCTCCACTTTCCACGCTTTTGTTACTGTTTCCCAAAGGAAGTCAGAAGGAATAGTGCCCTGGAGAGGCCATTAGCGATGGAGCAGGGGAGTGGAGGATTGGAGAAGTGTCCAGCATTGGAGTGGCAGTGGCCAGCAGACTTCATCCCTCCATGGACACAGTCAAGGATCATCACAGTTTCACACCCAGTGGATGTGACCCTGTGTAAGATGTTTCAAAAGTCAGCTTTGAAAGACTGAGGAGCCTTTCCAAGTCCAACTGTCCTCAACTCATGCATCCACTTCTGATTTCTTGGGAATGTGTAAGAACCTTTTCGGGGAAAAGTAAGCCATAGGTATCTAGCTGATCATATTTAAATGTGAGATATCTTCTGGGAAGGGCTGGCTGGCCGTAGCTCCACAGTGCTATGCTTGTCTAGCATGCACAAGACCCTGGGTTTGATCCACATGGCCATAAGAATACAAACGCACAAGAAGGTGGTTTCTTAATACAAATGCATTAAGAAAATGGGGGAGGCTGGCTAGCATCTCTCTTGCTGTGGAATGGTCTGGGGTGGGCTGGTTATTGAAAACCGCCCTGATGCCATTTTCCTGGTCTTTCCCCGGGATCTCCTGTTTTAATCAAATTGCATATGGCACTCACTGACCATCTTTGGAACAGAACACCTGTGTTCTACGTCTGGTGACACCCAGGCCAGAGGACTGTGGTCATCTGCAGGTGAAGAGAGAGGTTGAGGGACCCCTAGGGATTACTGTTTCCCATCTGCCCCCAACATTCATTAATGTAATGCTGCCCTCATTCCCAAACTGTGTACACCTCTGTCCATTTGTGCAGTGTTGGGGAGTCTGTGAAGTATCCAAAGGGGGAGAAATCAGGCGTGAGTGTCCCGACATGCTAATGAAGATCTCTCCCCCCTCCCCCTCTCTCTCTGGTTTTTCAAGACAGGGTTTCTCAGTCCTAGCTGTCCTGGAACTCGCTCTGCAGACCAGGCTGGCCTTGAACTTACAGAGATCCTCCTGCCTCTGCCTCCCAAGTGCTGCGATTTTTATATTTTGTATTCTGGATTGTTTTTTCTATTTTGAGCAGTGAGTAGTCCTTTGACTGACTCTCGGGGTTTTGTTTTTTTTTAATACTTACATTCATTTACCAATTTCCTCACTAAATATTCTTTGTACACATTGATATTTAATATTTCATTGTTCCTATAATACAAACATTTCGTCATTTCTACTTAAGATAACTCAAACGTGAGCGATTAAATTTCCCACGTGTATTGGAAACAGCCCCTTTATTGTTGATTATTAGTCAGCAGAGAACGTGCCCTGACAGCTGTAGTTCTCTGAAACGTGGAGAGTTCTTCTGCCTCCAGTAGCTGTAGGCAACCTTTTTTTTTCTTTTGTGTATGCTCTGTGAGTATTTAAAAAGAACTTGAAGTTTCCAATTTGTTGACGATATATACATAACGCCCACACCAGACCTGATAGTATTGTTTGAAACTGACACACTTAAAAATTTCTATTTGCACAACCATTTCCTCCTGTGTAAATTTAGCTTCAGATATATACAAATTCGTGACTGACTCACTTTTATTAAACTTTATATGACATTATTATTCTTTTTTCCCTATCAATGTTTTTGCTTTTCTGTTATTTTCCTGATGGAATATTTTTAAATTTCATTTTATTCTTATTATTATACCTTTTTATTTCATTTTTTATTCAAAATAAAGTTGTTTTTAAACAATATATCCTCAGTTTCCTCTCCCTTCTTCCCACTTCCCTGTCCTCCCAACTCCATGCTCTCTTTCTTGCTCTCTCTTAAGAAAACAGGCAAATAAAAATAACACAAAACAGCTGGGCGGTGGTGGCACACACCTTTAATCCCAGCACTCGGGAGGCAGAGGCAGGCGGATCTCTGTGAGTTCGAGGCCAGCCTGGGCTACCAACTGAGTTCCAGGAAAGGTGCAAA